TAGGAAACAATGTTTCCTGGTTTGTCCACCTTCGGGAAACATGGCTAGGAAACAATGTTTCCTGGTTTGTCCACCTTCGGGAAACATGGCTAGGAAACAATGTTTCCTGGTTTGCCCACCTTCAGGAAACATGGCTAGGAAACAATGTTTCATGGTTTGTCCACCTTCGAGAAATATGGCTAGGAAAGAATCGGTTTCCCGGTTTGTCCACCATCAGAAAACATGGCTAGGAAACAATGTTTCCTGGTTTGTCCACCATCTGGAGACATGGCTAGGAAACAAAGTTTCTAGAAACATGACAAGGAAACAATGTTTTCCAACTTTGTCTACTTTTGGGAAACACGGCTTGGAAACAATTTTCTCAGGGCATAAGAATCCACGAATGAGTCCAGTTTCAGCTACAAAGCTAACAGCTAAATGACGTTGTATTGAATTCCGACAAGCGAACGCAAACATCAGTAATGAAAGATGCAATTATAGTTTACGATTATAATCGTTTTCGAGTATGTCTTGTTGAAAGCCCCCCACATCATCACAATCCAAATCAGTTATCAATGAACACTTTTAGACCGATGCTGCCGAAACATTGCGCGCACATTGTCTTCTGCCCTAGGCAACGAAGAACAACAAAGCATATTCCTGAACATTTTGAAGCATACTGAATAAAGACGCTCAGGGATAGATGGATTGATCAAAATCGAAGGTGAGTTTTAGTTTTGCATGTCATATAGTCGATGTTTGAAGCTTTTGTTTTCGGTTTTTAAAATAATGAATTCGACGCTACATGCGCGCATAATGGCACATGGAGCAATTCCACAAATGATCCATGCGGATTGCGGACTATAGTTATACTGAAAGATGAATCATTGTTGAAGCGATTGTTACAGCTCGACAACTGTTTCTCTGTTGCTCAGTTAGTTAGAGCTCGACAACTCACAACTGTCTCTCTGTAGCTCAGTTAGTTAGAGCTCAACAACTGTCTCCCTGCAGCTCAGTTGATTAGACTCGACAACTGTCTCTCCGTAGCTCAGTTGGTTAGAACTCGATAACTGTCTCTCTGTAGCTCAGTTGGTTAGAGCTCGACAACTGTCTCTCTGTAGCTCAGTTGGTTAGAGCCCGACAACTGCCTCTCCGTAGCTCAGTTGGTTAGAGCTCGATAACTGTCTCTCTGTAGCTCAGTTGGTTAGAGCTCGACAACTGTTTCTCTGTTGCTCAGTTGGTTAGAGCTCGATAACTGCCTCTCTGTAGCTCAGTTCGTTAGAGCTCGATAACTGTCTCTCTGTGGCTCAGTTAGTTAGAGCTCAACAACTGTCTCTCTGTAGCTCAGTTGGTTAGAGCATTGAAAAAATCTAAAAATCTCTTCGACAATTAGGTTATATGCCCAAGATGCTAAAAAGATCAGCCTTTGTTGAGCATCATTGTATTGAAACGCATGATAATAAAGATCGCTCTCGCTAAAAACGCCAAATCTTATTCAATCTCCCAGATAATTGACACATAAATCACGGCAAATCTTCCTTCACCTTGGCATTATTAAACATCCGTCATAATTCCCACGCTTCTCAGACCGACGGTGTTTACGATAAAACGATTCCCCAATTATAGTTTGTACATTAAATAAGTGAACGCAAAATTCGATGATAATTTTCGTGGGCAGAAATGTACTGTACAAAACAAGCATGGGCGGTCCAGTATATTCCTATTCTGAGCTGCTTTAAAACGATTAAAAACAATCCATTGTTTCAAGAGACAAGTTTCTATGAGAGTTTTCTCAACTTTCATTGCCTGATCAAACGAGAACAAGAGTTGCATGAGAGTTGAGAAGCGAGAGTTTACATGAGAGTTTTCTCAACATTCATTGCTTCATCAAACGAGAACAAGAGTTGCATGAGAGTTGACAAGCGAGAGTTTACATGAGAGTTTTCTCAACATTCATTGCTTGATCAAACGAGAACAAGAGTTGCATGAGAGTTGAGAAGTGAGAGTTTACATGAGTTTTCTCAACTTTCATTACTTGATCAAATGAGAACAAGAGTTGCATGAGAGTTGACAAGCGAGAGTTTACATGAGAGTTTTCTCAACATTCATTGCTTCATCAAACGAGAACAAGAGTTGCATGAGAGTTGAGAAGTGAGAGTTTACATGAGTTTTCTCAACTTTCATTACTTGATCAAATGAGAACAAGAGTTGCATGAGAGTTGACAAGCGAGAGTTTACATGAGAGTTTTCTCAACATTCATTGCTTCATCAAACGAGAACAAGAGTTGCATGAGAGTTGACAAGCGAGAGTTTACATGAGAGTTTTCTCAACATTCATTGCTTCATCAAACGAGAACAAGAGTTGCATGAGAGTTGAGAAGCGAGAGTTTCCATGAGAGTTTTCTCAGCTTTCATTGCTTGATCAACTGACAAGCGAGAGTTTGTACGAGCATTTTCACGCAACACTCATGCCCCGGTCAAACGAGAACAACAGTTGCATGAGAGTTGATCGGAGTTGACTGGAATTACCGCGCGCGTTGCGAAAACTCTCATCACCTCTAATCAAAATTTGACCCAGCTCAAACTTTTTCAGGTATAGTTCAGACACCAACCACAAAAACACTTCATTCCGTTTATTTAGATGTCTCGACAACCAACAATGTTTATAAACGCCACAACAACAGCTCTGGAAGCCTGCAACGGATCCTCGACACATTTCCAATTCCAACCCCCTTCATCGTTCGATATCTTCACGGGTGTCTTAATGATACTCATTATAATCACCTCATTAGCGGGTAATATTTTGATAGTCTACGCCTTTCTAACGAATCCCAAACTACGGGTGGTGAATAACTATTTCATAATGAACTTAACTCTGTCAGATATCTTAACAGCAAGCATGGTGATGCCATTCGATGCAGACATAAAACTGAATGGATTAAGCAGCTGGGACTATGGCGCAATTATGTGTAAAGTGTGGACAACAGCTTATACAATTTCAGTACCCACTTCAATATTAACTCTATGTACCGTCAGCATCGATAGATATCAGGCGATATCGAATCCCTTGGGCTACAGAGCGGGCGTGACGTTGAATAAGACCAAAGCTCTGTGTCTTATCGGTGGAATTTGGGCGCTGAGTCTAGTTATGGCATTTTTACCGCTGACGATAGGATCGCCACTCGATGTGACACTGTCACGTGATCTGCCACCCGATTGCCCGGATGCTCATTTCTGCTACTTCGATATATCGCCAAGCTATTCAGCGGCTGTCACCATAATCGCGTTCATTCTTCCATCTATTGCTATGGCAACGCTATACGTGAGAATGTATATTATTATTACATACGAGCGGTATATTTTCGACGAGAATAGCGCCGGGATTCGAGGAAATAATAACGAAGTGAATAAAATTGGAAACGAGAGAGCAAAAGGGAAGAAAAGAGAGGAAATTAAAACTGAATGTGCTAAAAACAAAAGTAATAAGGCAGAAATAAATGGAAGACACCAAGACGAGAATAAACAAAAAGAAATTAATTATACACAATGGAATTTGGGCAAAATGAAAAGCGGATCACTTCAAAATGATCACAGAAGAATGAAAACCAATGAAAATACAACAGATTGCGATAAAGCGGGAAGGAACATAGCCGAAATTCATCAAAATGATCAGACAAGGTTGAAAACCAATGAAAATACAACGAAACGCGATAAAGCGGGAGGGAACATAGCCGAAATTCATCAAAATGGGATGAAAAATCAGGCACCTAAAATTCAATGCGTGGAAAAACGAACTAGCCAAAATATTCGAGATGTACATAGCTGTGATAAAACTGGACGTAACATGGCCGAAATTGATCGGGAAGTAAATGAAAAGAACGAAAACGATGAAACAGGCTGTTCTAAACACGAAATGCATCCGGATACAAGCAATAACAATGTGAATACAAGGCTAAACACAAATAATGCAACTGCCGGTAACATCATTGAAAGGAACAAACGGGAAAAGGAAACAAGATGTGACGAGCATAGAAATAGCAAAAACAACTCAAATAACAATGAAAGCAACAGAAATCAGAGCCATCCTTCCGCTAGAAACAGCAACGTTCATTCGCCATCGCATCACGCTCTGTACCAAACCAAAGTGGCACGACATTTTTCTGTCATAGTGCTGGTACAACTCGTCTGTTGGTATCCTTATAGCGTCGCAAGTTTAGTCTATAACCTCTGTGGTAGCTGTGATCAAATCAGTTCGTCAGCTCACTATTTTTTGCTGACAATTGGGTATATGAGCTGTGCAATCAATCCTTATCTGTACGCTTATCAACAGCGATCGTTCCGACAAGTTTTTGCCCGAATGCTTGGCATGAAAAGTTAAATATGTTAAGTGTGAACGGGATATTCGCTATAGCTAAAAAACCTTTGGTTTCATCACAACTTTCGTGTTATTTTTTATGTATATAATTAACTGACGATGTTTCAAAATAACAAAATATATACTTGTGATGATATTTCATTGTTTCAGAATAGCAAAATATATACTTTAGATGATGATGTTTCAGAATAGCAAACTATACTTATGTCTTTATGATGATGTTTCAAAATAGCAAAATATACTTATGATGTTTCAGAATAGCAAAATATACTTATGATGTTTCAGAATAGCAAAATATACTTATGATGATGTTTCAGAATAGCAAAATATACGTATGACGATGTTTTCAAAGTAACAAAAACAACTCAAATAACAATGAAAGCAACAGAAATCAGAGCCATCCGTTTGCTAGAAACAGCAACGTACAATGACGATCGCATCACGCTAGTACCAATTTAAACCAAAGTGGCCGGACATTTTTCTGTCATAGTGTTGGTATACAACTCGTCTGTTGGTACCCTTATAGTGTCGCAAGTTTAGTCTATAACCACCGGTCAAAACGTCCCTATGTCAAAACGTCCCCAAGCCCTGGTCAAAACCAACCCAAGATCAAAACGTCCCAGGTTTGCAATGTTTTAATAAGATTGTCAGAAGTGATAAGGGCTAGTTTATATGCACTGTAAAAGTTTCTGTAACCACAGTAATTATTACGAATTTTGCATTTTACATCGGGACGTTTTGATTGGATACCGGTGTGCCAATGCAATTTCGCCCCTCAGAGAGCGAAACTCCTATAGTAATATCGCCCTCCCGGGGGCGAAATTCCTAGGAAATCCCCCCTCCCCTTTAGGAAATTCGCCCCCCTTTAGAAACTTCACATTTCCTTTAGGATTTTCTTTCCCACGTTAAAAAATTTCGCCATTCAGTAACAGTTGCATGGGACAATTATTACATTGCTTTAGTCATTTGAAATCAGTATCAATTCAAAATATTTTCTGTGTTGGTGTAATGAACTCAGGTGAATATATGATTTGTGAGAGGGGGCGAATATCCTGGGGAGGGGGAGGGGGCGAAATTCCTGTGACACCGGCCTGCTTCGGCTCGTTTTCGGAAACTTCCGTTAATCCGTCCATGCCTAGCCTGCGAACAGGCGTTTATTCGGGTGGGCCGCCTCGTTTTACGATCGGGCCATGAATAAACGCCTGTTCGCAGGCTAGTTCATGCCACGAGGTGTTCGTTCCATTCACACAGATTTGCATAAGTCGAAAATTTTAGTCAAAAGAGCCGGGAATTTTGGGTTGAAACGAAGGGATTTTTGTCCTAAAACAAAAGGTAAGTAACATTGTACCTTTGTGGTGGTAAAAATTCAACCGAGAGAGTCATAGTGTTATAAACTTTCCGAGGGTGCTCGCGACGTCCTATTTTAATAGTAGTTTATCTTACTACTTTTTCCAGCGCTTGAAGATTGTTATTTTCAGTCTCACGTAGTATATATTTTTAGCCTTAGAATAAAATTTTGAAAGAACCATTTGATATTACCGTCTTTATCGCAGTATTCTTATATTTGCACGTGGCGATTTATATTAGGCCGCACCCTACTGAACAAATTGGCCGCACATTTACGAGCGATATTATCATACATAATTTCTTAGCTAAGGCCTGTTTTATACGTCGAATTTTGGTCGTGTCGAATGCAATCAAGACAATAGATAATGAGATGATAAACCTCATTAAGGATTTAAGCTTCATTACGCATCTATATTGTTTGAATTTGCATTCGACGCGACCGAAATTCGACGTATTAAACAGGCCTAGTTAGCTACTCCAAAACGCGATTTTCACGTCACGAATCATGTCAATTTATTATATAATATGTTGACGAGTTATATCAAAATATAAATGTCTGCGAGTTATTCAATGTCGAAAATCAGAGAATATTGCAGGTGATCTTATAAGTGAGATGTGTGTATTAATATATGTTGACGAGTTATATCAAAATATAAATGTCTGTGAGTTATTCAATGTCGAAAATCAGAGAATATTGCAGGCGATCTTAAGTGAGATGTGTGTATTAATTTACAGACGTATTTTTAATGTGTTTCTCGTCGTAAATTTATAAAACCTACAAATACCAAAAAGAGGTCAATTTAAATATATGTTATAATTTAGCTATGAATAATATATTGCAGCTAAAAACTAGTACAGTTTAACAGTCGTTATATATATATATATACATGGCAATAAAAACAAATCTTGTGAAATTAGATTGTACTAAAAGTATAATAGATCTCGACCTACATTTGCGTGCAGTACGAAGAATAGCTTGCGTGCAGCCTGACTTTTTGATGGGGAAGGGGAAAAAAAAAAAAAAAAAAAGTCAGGCTGCACGCAGGCTATACGAAGAACTGAATTTGTGTAAAGTGTTGAAAGTACAAACAAATGTCATTGCTATTTATAGAAAGCCAAAATTATAGGCAAAGCCAAAGTACAGTTATAGAGTGTTTGCATGTTACGTTATAATAAAAATTCTAAAAGTTTAAGCGTTTAACATATATAATTGCCCATTTTATATATTTTGTATATCCTTTATACTACAAGTATTTCTGGCAAATTTCAAGTCGATTCAGTAATTCCTTGGCAAGTTTATACAGTAAAGGGGTTTGAATAATTTATATTGCTGATGTCAGCATTTATTTTGAATAAAGCTCAATATTTTGGACACAAAAATGTAAACAAAGGCTTTGTTTACATATGGACTGTAGGGCACCTTTAAGTATAGAAACCATTTACTTATACAAGCCAATATTACAATAAGTATACCAGTATTTATTTAGTTTTAGCTGTGATTTAAAATGCTCCATCGACCTTTTCTTGGTTGATTAATTAAGAACTGGGTCTGGGGGGAGCATTGCTTTTCGCCAGGGATTTTCCCGAGTTTTTATTGGTCAATTTGACAAGTGTCTATTTGGGTTTTATTGACTCGTCTTTTCCGCCCCAACGAGGGCCCGCTACACAGGCTACTTTTGCTGCCTTGAAACAAAAACATTGCACTATCCTTGGGATCTCCGAGTTGTTATTTCTATCGAATTTTTGTGTAAATTTGTTTTTTATATCAATAAGAATATCGCTAAATTAAGTAAATTTTGGTTTCTATGGTGAAAGGTATGTTGATCAATGACCAGGCCGTTCATTTTTTGCTTGCATTGATATAAGATGAGGCGCCTAACCGCACAAGTTGTAAAAACACACAAGGTCACTAACAAACCTACAGCAGACTTGTAGCAATGCTGTTCCAACAACTTGTCAACAGGATATGTTCACACTGCTTGTTTCCAGCTTGTTGACAACTTGCTACAAGGTTGTTACAGTCAAACCGGATGTTCTCTTGCAAGCAACATTGCAATATTGTCCCACATTTTTTTTTTTTGTGTGTTGGTGTAGTGTACTCAGGTGAATATGATATTTGTGGTGTTACTCTGAGTGTATTCCAAAGGTCGTAGGTTCGAATCCCACCGTGGCCGGGCATATTTTTCAAGCTCGCCCGGTGTGGAATTTTGATAGGCAGATTGCTCTGAGCAATTTGCAACCGACGCAAACAAATTGCAAGTTGAAATTCACAAAAGATTTGTAAACAAAGCCTCTGATTGGACTATAAGAAAGAGAGAAGCACCAATCCAGTTGCTCAGACTATTTGATTGGGTTCCCTCTTTCTTTTAATACAATCAGAGGCTTTGTTTACAAATCTTTTGTGAATTTCCAACTTGCAATTTGTTTGCGTCGGTTGCAAATTGCTCTGAGCAATCTGCCTATCAAAATTGCAATATTGTGGGACAATATTGCAATGTTGCTTGCAAGAGAACATCCGATTTGACTGTAAGCTCAACAGACTTGTTGCAAGTTGTTCCAACAACTTGTTATCATCCTGCAATTCAACAATTTGCCAACACATTGTGAGTGACGACCTTGTAGCAACTTAGCATTATCTCTATTCTTACAATAGAAATCAGAGCAAGGTTCCGTTCGCTGTAAATCATGGCTTATTGCCTGACGGTCTCGACAGGTCTTGACACTCATGTTGGGACTGAAGTTTGTGAACATAGGGGAGTGGAAGTTCAGGACTGTGGACAGACACAGGATGTGGAAAAATTGGAAGGACGTTCGGCCGACCTCGTACTGTCCCCTTCGACCCAGGAAATACTCAATACACACAGGGAAGATATTTTGGTTGCGAGTGGCGCATGTGATCGTGCAGAAATATATTCATGGCAGGAAAATGCTTGGTACGAGGTTTCAGAAATGAATGAATCTCACGTGGGCGCGTCATCGTTTGTTTATAATGATCGGCTGTATGTTGTTGGGGGAGTATTTACCGAGACAATAGAGATGTTGGATCTCAATGAACTACCTTTGAAATGGACGGAATATCCTGACGGATTTCCTTATGAAATCGGCGGCAATCCAACTGTTGTTTACCAACAGCGTGTCATTACCGTTGGTGGATTTATTGATGACGAGGATAAAAATTGTAATGCGATTAGTGAATTGCAACTTGCCTCGCCTTGCACAATGAAACAGTTGTGCCCAATGCCCCAGCCACGAATTTGGCATGCCGTCGAGGCTTTTGACGATAAAGTCCTGATCTTGGGAGGCGCCAATGGTGACCATAATTATGATGTTTTAGACGGTGTGTTGGAGTTCGATCCAGAGAAGAACGAATGTAAGGAGCTGCCATCATTACCGTATCCCGTGGAAGAAATGGCGACGGTTCGTTGGCGAGATCAAGTAGTTGTACTCGGAGGTTGTGATAAGGATGATGAAGCTCTGAATGATGTTTTCATGTACGACTCCAAGACGGGCGAGAACACAGTCTTGCCATCCATGTTGGAAAAGAGACGTGGATGTTGCGCAGTCGTTACTAGAAATACGATCGTGGTGATGGGAGGCGTGAATGATGCCCATGGATATCTCGATTCAGTGGAGTATTTTACAATGGGAGGATCTACTTGGAAGTATCTTCCCAGCATGAAAAAGGAGAGGTGGCAAGCAGTTGCTATAGTTCTACCCTCGACAAGGAAATATGTTCAAGTTTGACATATTTAACGTTTGTCACAAATTCATATTAGATCGTTTTGTTCAGAGGTAACATTCCACACATTTCTTTACCCAAGCTTGGATTTCTGACTGAGGGTAAAGCAATACGAAGAACACGGATTTTCCAAGCAACATGCTAAAGCCGATTGTAACGCCATGTTATGATCAAAATGTTTTTGCATATTTTCTTGTCTCGTTTAGCTAAGTTATGCTTAAAGGGTATGAGCAACAAAAAAATTTATTGCTTCATCTGAAAGAGCATGAAAAAATAAACCGATTGGCCGTTGCTCTATTCTATCTCATCTGGTTCCGAAGTTATACGCAAAAATGTGCAAAATATAAGTTGCTGATTCAGCACAACGTGTGACGTCATTAGTTGGGTAAGTATGTTTAATGAATACTAAACTGAAGCATAGCTCAGTTATTATGGGCCCAAATCAAATGAAATTTTGCATACTGATTGTACATGATGAGACGCATGGAAAAACACTTCTAATTTTGTTGTCAACTGAAGGTAACAGTGTCGTTCCCAGGCCCCTTGCGCCAATTTTATAAAACAGCTTTATTCATGGTACTGTACTTATAAGAATAAAATAATAATATAATATCTATGTATGCCAAAAGTTTACTTGCATGATAATAATTCGAAAATGACATACACATAGATAAATGCAATTAGTTATTCAAAATCAGTGTAAGGGGCCTGGGAACGACTGTGTTGCCTTGACAACAAAATTAGAAGTATTTGCCCGTGTGTCTCATCATGTGCTATCTGTATGCAAAATTTCATTTGATTTGAGCCAATAATAACTGAGCTATGCTTCAGTTTACTATTCAATAAACATACCCAACTAATGACGTCACACGTTGTGCTGAATCAGCAATTTATATTTTGCACATTTTTGCGTATAACTTCGGAACCAGATGAGATAGAATAGAGCATCAAATGGCCAATCGGCTTATTTTGTCATGCTCTTTCAGATGAAGCAATAAAATTTTTGTTGCTCATTACCCTTTAAACACTTTCTTTAAATCGACTTTTGTTGCCTGTTGAAGCCATTGTGTTGTTCGTATTGCTATTTACCTTGGCTGAAACAAGCGGAAGTACCAGAAATTAATGTACTAATTTTAATTCTGTGTGGATAAGCATACAAAAAAGGATTGATTGCACAGCTCATATAGCCAATAGTCAGCAAATATAATACCGAGCTGACAAACTTATTATTTCTCACAACGATTTTTACTTCTCACAACGGTAAACTTGTATTACTAGTAGTTTTTTACTTTAAATATGTAATCAGTCAACTTCAGTGTGAACGGGATATAGTTATAGCTAAAAAACCTTTGGTTTCATGTTATTTTTTATGTATATAATTACAGTAACTGATGATGTTTCAAAATAAGCTTGATTGAAATTTATGTTATTAAATTAATCTTATAAAGTTACTGTAGTCTAGTTTAGGTTTCCTCCTGTAGTAACACTGCATGATCAATAAGAGATGATCATTCCTGGAATCAAGTGTTAGTAGATGAGGAAACCTAAACTAAACTAACTTTATTTATACTGGATAGCTCTGTCAGTTCTAAACTGTTCTCCCTAGAGGTCCAGTAAGGATCATCTCTTATTGACCCAGTGTTACTACAGGAGGAAACCTAAACTAAACTAACTTTATTTATACTGGATAGCTTCAATAAGAGATGATCCTTCCTACAGAGGAAGAACAGTTTAGAACTGATAGAGCTATCCAGTATAAATAAAGTTAGTTTAGTTTAGGTTTCCTCCTGTAGTAACATTGGATCAATAACAGATGATCCTGACTGGACCTCTAGGAAGAACAGTTTAGAACTGATAAAGCTATATATCCAGTATAAATAAAGTTAGTTTAGTTTAGGTTTCCTCCTGTAGTAACACTGGATCAATAAGAGATGATCCTTACTGGACATCTGGGAAGAACAGTTTAGAACAGATAGAGCTATCCAGTATAAACAAGTTTTCAGCAAGGCATATTAGTCTCTAAGGAAAGTCATGTCTTACCAGTAAATACCAACAAACAAGTCAAAAAGCAAAAACAGTCTGTTTTAAAAGTTATTGAAACATACAGAAATTTATCCAAATAAATTGCGCAAATATTAAAGTACAATACAGCATTATAGTAGAGTCAACTTTTCATAATAAACTATTATTAGTGTCTAACTTGTCAACTTAACTGGCAATATTGTAAGGTAATCCAGGGGTTAGTTCGAAGAAATAGCCGCAGTCACAACGTTGTGGTTCACCTTTCTTTAGAGTCATCCATTGGATATACGTCATATCCTCTTCACCTGAAAAAATAATGTAACTTAATCATCATGACCATTTTATATTGTACCAGGCGTTCAGAATTATTCAGAGTAAGTGGTCATGTTGATAAGGCGTAAAAAAAAATACCTGTGGTTCTGGTTTCATATCGTGAAAAAATTAGTGTTGGTAGGTCGGAAATAATTTTTTTGAATATTTTTTTCATGGTTTTGGCGTTTTTTTGCTGGGCGATTTGCAGTAGAGTCCCGACATCAATATTAACTAGAGATCAGGGCTCAAAGTTTATCGCGGCAATTGCCGTAGAGGGAGAACAAAATGCCGTGGATCATTGTGGCAACGACGGCAATTTTTTGCCGTATAGTGCAATTTTTATACTATTTACTGTGCATTACTATTTTGAATTTTTGATACTTGAATTTAGATGTTGACCAAATAATGCGTTTTAGTCTCAGTTTTCTTCGGAAAAAAACACTGAAGAAATACGTAGACATGTTTCTAGCTTGTCAAAAACCAAAGAAACAATAAAATTAAAGTTTTTTACAGTAATTTGAAAAATGCCGTGGAAACTGCCAAAATTGCTGTAGACAGCTGTTACGTTCTACGGCAATTTTTATCACCATTGCCGTCGACTGATTTCAG